AATCCAATAGAGACGATAAGCAACATCATCGAAGGTGCATCTGTTAGGTTTACACACAAATTGCGAAAGACAATGGAATTGTATGTTTAAGCGGTTAAAACTGGCTGACTGGTTGGACATGAAAAGGTGGAGCAATAGAGTACAATCGTTTAGAAATTATATAGTAATTCGTGATTTTGGGAACTTTTCTATTGCACAGATTAGTGTGATAAACAGCAAACGAGGAAAACCCTATAGCCACCAGGATCTGACGATCAATCATGGAAACCGATAATCTCGGTCCCCGGACTTGGAGGGGCAAACCGCATGAGGCCCCGGCGCTAGGTTAGGCGTGGTATTGAACCAGACGACAGTAAAGCTGTCTAGCCCCAAAGTTGTTGGGTGGCGTGGGCGGGGCTCGAACCTCTGACCAAAGCACGCCGGTGACATCGACTAAGCCACTGCGCCACCACCACTGCTACTTTGGGGAATAGAGTCGGGAGCCCCTTTTTTCTTTGTATTTGTACTTGTATAACTTTTGCTAGCTGAGACGTGCTTACATTTCAGTTAAAAATTGTACACTGGTCGTCAGATTGGAGAAAAAATATAGAAGTATAAACAAATTCAATAGTGCTGTGTAAAAAAAATAAATGTCTCTAAAGTTTGATTCAGTCAATTAAAGATTGACGTAATTTATTTATAACTCGTTCCTTGTTGGTCAAGATGCGAGCCAGATATGGTACAGTGGAGTTTTTATAAATGTTTACTCGGGAGGGAAGGTACCGATGAGAGGAACAAGTGATCGAGTGGGAGCGACAAAAAGATAAGTCAAAATGCATAGGATGGGTGGGGTCGTTTAGAATCTTATTGGCAAAGGTCATGCAAGACTTCATATGACCAATATTAAGTTTTGTCATTAATCAATCGGCAGAAATTAAAGATGCACGGCTTATTATCATCAATCCACGACGGACAGTTTTAAAGTCGTGTTTCAATAGACCGGAAAACACTACAGCGGAGTAGTAAAGTAAAATCGGGAGAACGTATTGTTTAACAAAAGAGAACAAAACTTGTTGTGGAGTGCGAAATTGTGTGAGCTTTCGGAGCTGAAAGGAGAGGAGCCCAAGTTTTCCCATACAGTTCGAAATGTGTCTCTACCACCGAAAATTATTAGCCATGGCAACACCCAGATATTTGGCTGAGGTCACTCTAGATAAAAGGTTACCGTTAATGGTTATAGAGTCTGACGGGAATGTAGAGCGCGAAGAAATAAAAATGCACTTCAAGCACTTGGATGTGTTAAGATTAAGGCCAGACTGGTTTGAAAACTGTTCGATTCGGGACAGACTATCAGTGAAGGAAGAAAACTCCGAAGAAGAAGAAACGATCTGACATAAAACGAAATCGTCAGCATATGAGCAGGCTGTGGAACTGAAAGATCACTAATGAAAGCAGAGAAAAGATACGGAGAGAGGACAGCACCTTGAAACACACCAGAATTATTTACTAGGGAACTTGAGGTATTCCTGCCCAGCTTTGTGCAGTGGTTCTTTCAGTGAAATAATCAGAAAGCCATGAAAGCAGTTGTCTCGGGGTGCCAAAAGATTCAAGCTTAAGAAGGATGGATGACCGGGATACAGAATCAAAAGCAGACGAATAATCGAGAAAAACACAACGAACAGATTTTGCAGAGCTGATCAATGACATGCTTATAAAATGGACCAGAGTTGACACAGCATCCAAAGTGGATCTGTTGGGTTTATAAGCGAACTAAAGAAGATCATGGGGAATGGTGACAAGTGACTGTGGGCGACTCAGGATGGCTTTCTCAGTCAACTTTAGAAATACAGACGTCAATGCGATGAGACGAAAACGTTTTGCAAGAACGGTTGAGGATGAGGTCTTTGGAACAGGTATTATGGTCATTGGTCACCAGGAATCGGGGTTCATCTGTGCAGAAAGAGACTTGTTGATGAGGGATGTCATCATACTGGTTAGAGGGGCTGTTCCAAACTTGAGAAATGGTGGAGAAAGACCATCAGGGCCCGCAGATGGTTTCAAAGAACGTAGAAGCTTAAAAATTTCATCATTAGAAAAAGGGAACAGATCAGAATGGGAAGCCTCACATGGGAAAGAGAATATCTGGGTATCGTTAAACGGATAAAGAAATGCAGCGTTAAAGCTATTTACATCAACATTACTGTTCACGTTTTCCTTTTCTGTCCGCAGAGAAGACGAATTCCTTGCCACAGAAACCTTGTGCTTTCGTTTTCAGGATTTGGGAAGCGAACGTCTTGTTTAAACGTGTAATCTCAGCGTTAATTGAGTTAGAATAGTATTTTACAGCAGATGGATGGTGAGATTTATAGGATCGTTCCTTTTCCCTCCGTAATGAGTTCAAGTGAGGAGATGCAATTTTGCCGTTGCAAACAAACAGCGTTTCCATGGGACAGCAAAAATCGATTTCATCGTTTCGGTGAAAAGACTGACACAGTTGAGAAGTGATGAACAAGTAGCAAACCAAGATTGGGTAACCGTTATGGAACGACAGAGAAAAGAAATGCGGGTTGATGAAAAGTTACGGAGATGAAACCTTACCTGGTTTGATCGTATGAATGTTGGATATGCGGAGCGGGAGTATATCTTCGGTCTTAAGAGGAGAACACAATGATCACTGGTAGCGACTGGGGCTATTAATTTCAGCGAAAACAAAGTGGAATGGTTTGTGAATACCCGGTCAAGTATAGAGTTGTCTCT